GAGACGAGCCTGATAGCCAAAGGCTCTGGCTCCTGATCTACTTTTGGAGACTTTAGGGACCACGAGTAACCCTGCAATCTCAGAGTGTAGTGTTCTGGTGGGATAATATGGCACTATGAGCTCTCTAAGATATGATGGAGCCTGACCATTTACAGCTTTATAAGTTAACAGGAGGATTTTAAATTCAATTCTGGATTTTACAGAACTCTGTCACTCTGCAGTTACACCTCCAAAACACTAGTCAGTGGTGTAGGACTGTGTTGTAGTTGTTGTGTGCTGTAAAGTTTAGTTCAAATCAAACTTTATTTATATAGTTGGTTCAAAACACACATTAAATATGGCTTAATAGAGACAATTTCATACACAAGTACGCAAACTGGCTTCACTATAAATCGCAGAACTGACAGACAAACACTTGTCTTTATCTGGGCACATTTCCCCCACCAATACAACATGCTAACATTATTAGCACAAGTCTGTGGCGTTTTACATTGTATAAATTAGCCTAGCGTCTAGCGATCATTTCCTTTTCTCATATAAAACCAGGGACAACAGCAGCATTTAACAAATGTAACGGTACATAATTTGGCTCTATTACAACTCACAACATTCACCGACAAAATCTTCTTATACTAAACACGTTTTCCAAGCAAATACAACATGCTAATGTTATTAGCGCCAGCCTATGGCATTTTACATTGTATACATTAGCCTAGCGACGAGCGGAGATTTCCTCTGCTCATATGAAGCCAGGATAAATCCCGAAGTATAAATCCCTGAAGGATAAATTACACACACAATTTAAAGTGCTATTTTAGTGGAGGCTTTACTGTCTTCACAATTTGTTGTTTCTTATCTGTGAAATACAAGTAAATACAAGCTTCGTTTCCACTGAGGGAAATGGTGTCAGCTTACAGAAACAGACAGGAGGTCTGGGTCACCGCGCCGCTGAGCGTGAGGGTGGGCGAGTTCAACTTTCTGTCAACAATGGGGGTGTTTTGAAAACACCCCCATTTTCACAGGTAATTTAGCCTGTCCCCCATCGCAGGAAATAATGGATTAATCCTGGAAAGCTGTTGATGTAGCACTTTTTGTCCTTATGAAAGTAACACGCCGATTATTCGACCAATGAAAATTTGGTCAGACGAGAGCATAGTGACCAAATAATCGACTAGTCGACCAGGAGACTGCAGCCCTAGCTGAAAGCATTGAAAACAATGGAGTCCAAGTTCACTCTGCAGGACAGATTATGCAATGAAACAATTTCTAAATCACTCTAAGCCTTGCATTTTGCATTTTATGGTATGTAAAAAAAAACAACATGTTAGCAGATACCAATATGTCTGTGATAAGCCCACATCAGCCAATAAAATTAGTTCATCTCTGCAAAAAAGATTTGTAAATTATTGCATTCAGTTTTTAATTAGGTTTCATACAGCATCCCAACTTTTTTTGGAATCGGGGTTGTATGAAGTAAAGGAACAATGTACATATAATGTATTATGTATATGAATGATATGTATGTATAATATCCTCAACAAGTAAACAAACAGGAAAAATACATGAAAATAAAACTGGAAAAAAAAAGTTAACCACAAAATTTTATTATTAGCACTTATTTCACTAGTAGTTTTGAACAGGAAGCAATATGTTGTATTTTGGCATAATGTAATTGTGTTTTAGCTCCTGTTGTGCAATATTCTCGTAAGAAGAGAGCCCTTCCGTCACTGACAGTGCATGTGGTGGTTTTCTGCAACAAGCAATCAGTCTCCAAGCAGTGATGAGATGACCCTAAATCAGTTCCCCACGGTTCACTTTGAACATGCACTGCTACCACACAACTGCAAATATAAAATATAAAAAGAAAGAAGTGCCCAGGAGGTTATGAGACTTTTGTAGCTATTGGATTTCATGCAGACCTTGTTGCCCTATAATGTTTTTGAGCATTTTAACACCTCTGTCACTGTACTAGTTGTGAAAAATTGGAGATGGACAAACACTTATGAGAACTTAAACTTTTTTTTTTCTTTTTTTGGTTTAAAACGACAAATGATCAGTTGTTCCCTCAAAGTGGTTGCTGATCAATTTTGTGTTGAGTGACTAATTGATGCACCTGATCATCAGGAAAGGAAATACCCTTTTCTGACGTGCTGACGTATTGCGGTAAGCGAGTTGTGTCATTTCCGGTGTTTCTGTGACA